ACGCACCTTCTTAGGACCTAGCCTGACCAGTTATATACCATTTCGTAGAGAATTGAAAGGCGAATCTTTTGATATAAGAATGATCTCGATCGACTTTGAGGAAGAGAAGGAATTTCAAAAACACTGATAGTCTAATTTATTCTGCGCCACCCGTTACAAAGAATAACTTCTTGATCAAAAAGATTTTGTAACGAATAGATAGTTGAATGATTAGAAAATTATTAGCTCTACAAACTATACTAAATTCCACGTCAGGGAAGTGAAGTCTGATGGGTGAAAATGCTTATTTACTGAAACTTTTTCTTTTATTAAAATTTTTAATAAATTTGCTTTGATCCACTTTTTCTACCTTGTGATACGACACGATAACACGGTAATAGTATACATACATGTCACAGATGATGTTCAGCAATAATATAAAATTTTTCACTCTCGAATGCTATTCATTTTGTTTATTTATTGTCCACCATTGTATGTGTTTGGTATGACGGTAAGAATAAAAGTTTTTGTCTAATTTTTACGCAAAAAAAAGACATTTTTCTCTCTAATTCACGCTGCTAAACATTGAAATGAGATTAACCTCACACACTCCCTTCCAGGGTAGTAATGAAAAATATTCATATTACTACTTGATACAGTTGAAGACTTTCAAATTTTCTCGAAATATTTAAGCCTTTCATCAGTATTCCCGTGTAAGCGGACATATAGGACTTTAACGAATTATCAGTTTATGAAATAAAAATATTTCATACAGAGGCCAAATCAATGCATTGAATAGGATTACATCAGCTGAGATGTAAAATAAGCTGATGGTCCCACAAAACTCCCAGGAATATTATCGGACGCCGGTTGCTCTGTGCAGAAAATTTATTTTCAATGTACTTTTTACTTTATATGCGGATTTTTATTAAAATCAAATATTTGTGTGCCCAAGAAAAAAAAATAACAAAAACAATTGATGTTCAATTTAACTTGTTGGTATTAAGAATATAAAAAAGTAGAAGCCATTTCTTCGGACACACACACACACATTTTATTTTTTCATGTTGTATTAAGCATAACCTGCACGTTGGGTATAACCACCACGTCCTTGACCTCTACCACCTTCGTTTGGATTTGTTTGTTGACCAGATTTATCTCCACTTGGTTCAACAACCTGAACATTTTGTAATGCTTTAAAGTCAAAACCCGACAACATTTCTTTAGTATCTTGATCGATACTAATTGCTTGTTGTGGTTCCAATGCTGAAACATCTGGCACATAATTGTCACGTCTTTCACGTTCTTCTTCTTGTAGTTTAATTGATATGCCACGAACTGGTCCAGCTTGAATACGTTTCATTAAATGTGTTATAAATCCAGCTATTTGATTTCTTAAACGTTTTGTTGGTATTATGGCTATTTCTTCAACCACCCGTTTATTCGTATGAAAATCTAATGTCAATTTTGTATAATATTTTTCAATTATTTGACGTGACGCTTTCTTAACCGTTTTTGTTCGCACACGACCCATGGTGGTTTTTTTAATTCAATTTCCGAATGGATAATGACAGACCGAAAAGACTGACGAAAGTCTAAAAAGATAAAATAACATATTAATAACAAGAAACGCTGTATGAAGAAACAACAGAAATGTCTTGCCTAATGCAAAACGTATGATTTTCTTCTTAATGAGATATTTGTAGTAAAAAATAAGTATGCGAAAGATCCGTTTCTCAACAACAGAGTAATTTATAACTTTCTCTTGTTTTTATGCAGTTCAAACCAAGAAAAGACTCCGCAGTGTATATATTCTAGTATTTCGAGCGCCTTTTACCCTCAAAAAGTAAAAACCGCATTGCTGAGAGTTAAAAATGATTGAAATGTTTATGATACAAAATGAAACACGTTTCAACGTTGCATTTAATAATGAAAAAAATAATTGATCAGAAAATAAACGAACTACTAAAAACGAGTGAATATACAAAAGTAAATGAGTAGTTGTTGGTTTTGTTACGAGAATTAGCCGATATTTTTAGTAAAGTTTGGTTACTTAATATCCCGTAGCTATTGATATATTTATATTTAAAATTAGTAACTAGACGTTTCCAGATTGACTCAATTTCTTCATCGGTAGTTTTAAAAACAAATAAAATAAGTTCATAGACATAGTCTATGAATAGATATAATCTAAGACAGACAATATCAATCGATTACAAACAGTGATCTTCGCTTTTTTAAACTATTTACATCAATCACATTCACATTGTGCAGTATTTTACAGTATTTAAAAACTTTAGATTTTTACTTATTTTATTTGTTTTTGAAACTACCGATGAAGAAATTGAGTCAATCTCGAAACGTCTAGTTACTAATTTTAAATATAAATATATCAATAACTACGGGATATCAAGTAACCAAACTTTACTAAAAATATACAAAAGGGGATTATTTACAAAAATAAACGCAATGAGATCAAAAACTATCTTAATGAGAGAAAAAATATTTTCTAAGTTGATTGTTTATCATTATTGTTATTCTCATTGCTTTGTGCATTTTCATCGTCGATTTTCAATTTAACTTTTTTAATTCTATTCGGTCTATCAGGATCGTTCGATGCTTGATAATCAGATGTCACATGATATCGACAATGTTCACAATGACTAAACTCATTATCATCGCTACGTTTATTCGTATCATCATCATCATTCTCATTTTCATCACCAATTTCAGATGGTTTTACATAAATACAACAACATTTTGATTTCTTTTTATTCATAAATTCATTATCAACGGTTTCTTCTGTCCAACGAACACGTGGACCGGTAGGAGGACGTTCTAATGTTAAAAGTAAAGTGGGCGAATGCGAACGAGGTTCAACTAGTTCAGATTGTTGTTGATCGCCATCGGCAGAGATAGTGATGACTGATGAACCCTCGTCAACAAATGTCGAGGCAGTTGCCATATTTGATCTAAAACATAACTAAAAGTAAAGAAAGATAGTTTGTAGTTTGAATGTACGAGAATTGGATTGGATAATCAAACGCAGAAAGTTCCATTAGACTCTCCTGGTTAGCTACCTTTCTCCCGTGAAAAAACTGATTGTCTTAAGCGTACGTTTCCGTCCAAAGGAATCTTTTTATGTCTGTCAATAATAGAACTCACAGTTCGATAAAAAGCGTAAGTAACGATATTGAAAATCTTTCTTTATGCCTGGCTGTTTATTTCCATTGCTATAAACTGAAACATAATGGAAATGTGAGGCCAGGCAGCACTCACATACAAAATACGCAAAAGAATTTTTAAAAACTAACACTTAATAAAAGAAAATACAATAAATTATTACTCATAAATATCATATGGTAATTTACCATAGTAACATACATGTTTTACTTTTACATTCCACTAATTACTTAAATTTTACTTAATAATTACATAATACTAATGGATTAATGAGAAAAGGATTACTTTTCTACAAATAAAACAGCCATATATAATGACAACTAAACAAGCGGACAGTTTAACAGAAAGAGTAGAGCAAAACAAACATTTCACAGATGGTAATAACTCTTAAGTACTGGAGAAAAGAATGATTTTTCATTTCGTGTCTGAAAAATTTGATCAGCGCAAGTAACGAATACGTTCTTTTGTCGTGCGAGCATAAAATCGAGTGCAGCGCTTAGAGAAGCAGATATTCAACGTTCGAATCATGATGGTGAAGCTTTTTCTATCTTATTGATCTGATGGTTTAAAGATAAACTGTTCACAGGAGTAAGAAATTCTTGGTATTTTAATACAGCACTTCATTGTGAAAGTAGCGAAATTCGAATACCGCTATTAGCTCAGTTGATACTAGCACTGACAATTTCCTAAACTCACAGAACTTCAAGTTTCTCGCAGTACTCGCAATCAATTAGAGTTCTCTCTCAGAAAATAAACAGTGTTAGATGAAATTTAGTAGCAAATAGACAATAGATGATTTGATATGTTTATTATGATGAAAAAACAAAGCAAGCTAGAACAGAAGGAGAAACTGGACTAAATAGCAACAAATAAATTATCTAATTTGATTTATAAGATGGCAGATATACATTTGAGCTATATTAATTCGTTACGACACGATCGGATAAAAAGAAAAACACAGAGTATACAGAATGGGCATGAACTATGTACGAAAACGATGGAGCATGTTCCTGATATTTCAGTAAAAGAGATGTTGAATTGTACACGTAAGAAAAAGAAAACTGAACAATACAGAAACTAAATTCGTAAGAAAAAACGAAACACACCACCGGCAAAAGAAGACAAACAAAGACAGGAATATTATGAATAAACATGCGCGTGAGAGAAAACTTTTAATTTCTGATTGACTAGAACAAATTCAAGAACTCCTTTTAGCTTTTCATATGATACATGAATAACACGACTACAATAAATACCAATGTTTCTATATACCATATGAAGCGAGAAAAAGAAAAGAGCGATGATATATTTCTTTGATACCTCCTTTTGACTTGTGCATTCATCGATCTTTTGTTGTTAAACGGTCAATTAATTCTTGTAGAGGTGCAAGTTCTTTCTTTTCAATCAGATTAAATTCTTGTATAAAATAGACAAAATGTTTAAATGATGTATTTAAATGGGCTTCTTCTTTCAGCATCACAACCTCTTTAAAATGTTGATGATAAATATGAGCATATACACGAAATAAACGTTTTAAGATCATTTTTGATAAACTCAAAAAATTTTTTGGAAATGGTATACCTGGAATAAAACAGAAAAATATCGTATAAATACTAGGCAGACCGATACGCACTCTTTGTTCTTATTCACTTAGTTAAGTAAAAGATAAACAAGTCAGAGAGATCGAAACTAAGAAATCATATTACCCCGATCCAATAATGGCATAAAACAGTAGATGACAGAAAATCCAGTATGGCCGTCAAAGGACTTTGCCATGGCACCTAGTGATCTATTCTAGAAAATGCTGGTTAATACGTACCAATTTTCGACGGAAATACTGTTTCATCATCTAGTTGTTCCTGTACCCACGTCATTAGAAAATCGATGTAACGAGGTGCCGAACATTTGATCGGTTTCTTAACTGTAGCTCCGTCTGCCCAATGGTATTCACTATAAAACAATAATAGATGAACAACCAACATCGCACCTTTAATATTCACAATACTTACTATTTCGGTCCTGCCGTCATTAAAGCACAACTTTCTTCCGTGCAAAATTCTGTTATTGTGCCGTATAACATATTGATTTGATTGAAAAAATCCACAACTAAAAGAAATTACAAGTAAATTAAAAATGAGCTGAAAGCACGTTGCTGTTTTTCACTTACTATTCACAGCAATCCATTCATTCAAATCTTCTCCATCTGGTAATGTCACTGCTAAACGAAGATTACCGCTTCCTAATGTGGCCGCAGCATGTTTCATTAAGTCATGTTGTTTTGTACCTTCTACTATATGGCGACGAGGTTTGAACGTGCGCTGTTGACGACTGAAGTAATCAGAACAAAAGAAAAAGTTACCATTCATTGTGTCAATTAATAAACAAAAAGCATACGTACAACAAAAAGCTCATATTTGTTTGATCATACTCTATTGATTTTCTCTTTTATTTTTGAAGAATCCAAACCTGTTTGGATATGAGAATCGATAATACATTCATAATATTTACAGAAACAATAAACAGAAACACTTGGACTTAAAAACAATATCTGCCAGGGCTAAAAAAGAGAGATGCTACACAAAAATATTTAGTAGACAGATACTTAGGACGATTTCTGCGCGCAAAGCATTTCACTCACTATTCAGCATTAAGCAGATATTGATCATTAAGTGGATCAGTCAAATTCGTGAGAGTACAAATACATATAAATTATCCTTCTGCATAAAAAGCGTCTAGATAACAAAAAGTATATGTAAGTGTAGTGAGGAAGGTGAAAAATAGAACAAAAACTGTCTTTGATAAATACAAGTCTTTTTCTGAAAATGCTAGTACTCCTTGCGTCTAAATAAGTATTTATACAGGATCTTTAACGCTAGAAAAGAGTTAGAATTCGTTTGCAGAAGTTTGTAGAACACTTGAAAAATTCAAACAAAATTTCCTTACATAACTGATGTTCTAATCAAAACCTGTCTAATCTAGTCAAAACGTTCTTTTCAATTTCCCACCAAGAGTAAATTAAGCTTAGATCCTGAACGGAATAATGTTTATTTCCATTTTATTTTCTCGTTATATGTAATACGTAGGAAGTTTGGAGGTCCATCTATCAGAGGCGACTGCAGATTACCAGTGTTCCCTATTGGCTTCACTCTGGATATGATCAGCTGTCTTCCTCCTCAGTTGTATGTGAAAACATCGCTATAAAGAAAAGAAAGATCAATGCATATTAATGCATATAGTTTTTCATAAAATACAACCTAAAAAATTTTACAGCTTAATAATGAATGTGTAAATTACACGTAATGGAGATTGTAACCGAGAAACGCCACTAATCATAACTAATTAATGGTTTTTGTCAAACCCACTTTTATTGCAATAAAAAAAAAGCTTATTTTTTATACTATATCGCAACAACAACTATTGTTGGGAAATGATGATCGTTTTATCTATACTTTTAAGTAACTGTTAAACTTAAATGATCTCATAAATCTTGATCTACTTCTTCGTTTCGATTTAAGTTTTCGGCATTTAAAACGATTACTTTGTTTTTTTCATGTAGATGGGTCTACTTGATTCATTCATTTGTTGGCTAGGACTCAAACGCAAAGAAGTGAATGTTATTGTAATTGGCTTAGATAATAGCGGTGAGTGTTTAGATTAACTATTGCATTTACAGTATGAAATGAAAAAGTTATATTATAAAGATTTATACAAGTCTGACATTGGCGAGATAATCCAAACAGTTCATTATAGGAAATAATATGAAGTATTTCATTTCATGAGAGTTGATTCTTCACTATAATATTATAGTTTTTCATCGAAAATTATGATTTTCTAATTTGTTCAGGAAAATCAACGTTGTTGAATTATTTGCGACCAGTCGAAGCTCAAACCCATGATATTGTTCCAACAGTAGGTTTTAACACTGAAAACTTTCGTTGTAAAGGTCTTTCATTTTCGGCATTCGATATGTCTGGACAAAGTCGATATCGACCATTATGGGAGAATTACTACAGAAAAACACATGGGATTATATTTGTTGTTGACTCATCTGATCGTCCACGAATTGTTGTTGCCAAAGATGAATTATATCAATTGTTAACTCATCAAGATATTCGAACTCGAAATATACCTATATTATTTTTTGCAAACAAAATGGATTTGCGAGATTCACTATCGGACGTTGGTGTTTCATCATCGCTTTCACTAGATGAAATTGAAAATAAATCGTGGCATATTTGTAGTAGTAATGCGTTAACTGGAGATGGAGTACAAGAGGGTATTGAATGGTTGAGTTCGGCTATTAAAGCATCACTTGAGCAAGCGAAAAGATGAGAGCACTTTATTTTAACAAAAAATCAAAGTTAAAACTTCAATTCGAAAGAAAAAGAGTGGAAGAAACTCATGAGATATACACAGTTGGCATTTTATAACACTGATAAAGTTTTCGTAAAAATATTTTTGAAAAATATTCTACAACTCGTTTGGTTAAAGTTATTTTCAGTAGATGCTAATTTATAAATCTCATGTATCGTGTCTCTATTTCATTATTCTTTTGTTTTGCAATGTATGACAAATCATCTAATGTTTAGAGTAACAGTTTCACCTAGAAAAAAAGGAAGTTAATTTTGTGATACATATATGTTTCGTTATTTTTTTATATACACGTTATCTTTTGATAAATTTTTTTTTTTTTGTGATATTTTTTTTGTACAGTTTTTCTATTTATACACTATTAGAGCATTTTCAAAAAATGTATTGTTTCATAAACAATTCTACCGCATGGTGATCACTTAAAACTCTACAGTCTTTTATTCAATGGCTTATTACAGAACACTTCTAGTTAGACCAATTGATGTAGTAGAAAGAATGAGAAACTTCACTTAAATTAAAATCCTTTCACCCTTTTTCTCGTGAAATACTCTCTCATTTAAAATGTGCTTGTTTTCTATAGCTTTTCTATAAACACTTCAAGTCAGGTTGGTTAGAAGATGAACACCGTTTTTTGTGTGTATATCGACTACATCTGTTATGAATTTTTCTGAATGTTCAAAGGTTGATTATTTTTTTTAATACTGTGAGCGTATTATGCTGCCGAACTTTTGCAATAAATTTTTTCGATATTATGCATTAGTATGAATGACTGAAAATATATGATCATCCCAACAAATTTGCGTTATATGTGAGTTCTTCTTGATTCAAATAATTTTTTATTAATATTTATCCAAAACTAACATATTATGTGATCAAATACGTAGTCATGTTTCCATAGAGTAGCCAGTTATTATCGGATATGAGCAACGTCTATGCTGCTAGATTTTTATACTGAAAACTATTTATATGACTGACAATCCTATATTGTAATCTAGAATATAGTGTTTTTTTACTACTTATATTCCATAGCTTGGTAATGTTATTCTAATATTCAGGATTGAAATAAAACAATAACTCTGAATGACATTTTCTTGCGCTAAAGTCATTTCGATTTTTTATTATGAAATTTTATGGTAGATAATAATATGGTGATTCCTACGATTCACTTACCTTTTTAATATATTTTTCAATTCAAAAACTTTTTTTGATCTATCTCATTCAGCGACCACACAACTGTTTTTAAAAACATAGATATGATAGAATTTTTCAATGCGTTCTTAACGATCTATGAATGCAATAGTTGTTGTTTTTTCTTGCATTTTACAAAGTCAAAAAAAAGCCTATTTTTATTAACATTGAATCTAGACATGATTATTTAATACAACGGTAATAGTTTAGATTCAATAACATGCCACTTTGTATGACATTATGCATCAATCATTATCTGCGGTCAAAAAGAAATTGTAAAAAAAAGAAAAAACATTGTTTTCTAGCTTTCTGTAACAAACACGATTATATTGTTTTAAACCTAATAAATAATATATATATATCTCTATTTAAGATTTCAACATGAACCAAAAAAACATGAGAGCGATGTGTGTAACTAAAATTATCGAAAATAAAAGAGTAGCACACACAAAAAAAAATGCATTTATAGAAGTTGCATTAAAAAGAAAAACGCTTTGGTAGAAAATGATTGAATTAATTCTAGTGATGACAATGGAAAAAAACAAACACAAACGTAGACACAGGAATATATATCACTGATTTGAGAAGAAGAAAGAGAAGAAGAAAAAACGAAGACGAAGAAAATAAGAGCTAACAAGCAGAAATATCTACAAAATAATTTTCTATATTTGATTTGATCGGTATTGATTTAATTGCTGACAATGACGACAGAATAGGTAGTATAGATGAAAAATTTGTAATAGATAATTGTTGAGATTTGTGTGGAGATAATGTAGTTATCGTATCACTTTTAGTCTCACTAACAACAATTGATAATGTTAAATTTCCAAGATAATAGAAACCCGGTTTGAAAAAACATGCTTTTAATTGTACATTCAACGTTTGAGATGCATTTATTTCAATTATTTGATCCGTTATACCACACCATAGACAACATGAAGATAATAATGGATCAAGTTCTAATGATGATCTAAATAAAATAGATAACTTTTCAAATAAAAAATTTCCATCCTAATAGGATTAAGTACAAACAGAATCAAAACTTACCTCGATAATTGAATATGAATATTTAATTTATCTTGGGAACTATTAAATAATTTCAATTCAACTGGTAAGTATAATGTTCTTAAAAGAAGAAAAAAAGATAAAGCTAATAATAAATAATTAATATAAAAAAACAAAACTTTTATTTAATAAACCTGTTTTTATTAAAATCATGTTTGACAGATGTTTTATAAATTATTTCATATTGTATTGCTTTTGAAAATTTTTCTTGAATTGATGTCCACAATCGTTGTTCTTCAACATATGGATTTTGAGTTGAAAGAGTCAAAATTGTTGATGAAAATTGAACAGGTTGTTGTGGTTGTTGTGTATCCTCCAATATGATTTGATCGTTTATTAATGAATCACCTAAATTTGGACATATCATATGTAAACCATAACGAACATCAATTTGACCTAGTTGATTTGACATTGCTATTTGCCATAGTAATATAAGCGATAATTTTGTATGAGATGGTTGAATGGTAGGAGGTGTTGTCGTTGATGTATGTCGTCGATTATAATCAGACTGTTTTCTAGATGGATTAAAAAAATTTTCATTGCATAAAAAATTTCGATAAAAATCACACACAGGACTTTTAGAAACGTCAATCTGAAACAACAAGATATATTTGTGTAAACAAATTTAATTAAATTAAGCAATATGAACTTACATAATTGTTATCATTATTATTGGAAGATAGTAGAAGATTACTAATTAAAGCATCATCATTCGATTCTGATTTTTCTATAAATAAATAAATCAATACAATGTGAAGGCTATAATGAATGTCTTTTCTTCTCTAATTTTATGCACTAACCATCTATTTTATTTGTTGAACATTTTAATAACAATGACAAACTTTCACCACATGATATGGAATCTAAATAGAAAATGATAATTATATGAAATAAATGACAGTTAAACCTTTTGTTTTTCTTCTTCGCACTTCGATAAACTGGTGATAAATTATTCACATTCCATTTTTGACTAATACAAGATATTTGTCTTAACGTTATTTGTAGATTATTTTGTATCTAGAATAAAAAATGTTTTATTTGTCATTTATAAGAGAAATAATAAAAACATACTGCTGTCAAATTATCGATTTGTAAAGGTAACAATAATTCTCCAAGACCAATTGATTCAGTTTGAGCTGATAAACCAACACAAGAGGTTGTAATGAATAAGGATGAATGTTTAACTGTTCGATAACTAAAATGAAAGCAAAATGCAATTTATCGACTGCTAAAAATGCCGTGATGATCTCTAAAATTAACTTGTTGAACCTCTAAAACTACAATATGTGTTGATCTTACAATATAGAACAATTCATCAACGATTGACCGTCTTATCTTTTTTTTAAGTCCGATCTAGGATATAATACACAAGATCACTTTGTAATATTTGTCTTACCGTAATGGTTGTTGAAATGTATCTGATTCATATAGAAATAAAAAATCTGTATTTATTTCGCCTACTAAATGTGACGCTTTTAGCCATATTTTTAATGTACATATTGCATTCGGTTCTAAAACATTTGTTTTTGATGTTGTCTTATTAGCTGACTTTGGTATTAATGTTAAGACTTTTTGAGTTTTATCATAAAGTGTTTTTGAACATAATAATTTTGACTTATTTGTATAAGAGTAATATTCATCATTATCATCTTCTTCTGTTTCATTCGTTGTGGATATTGTTATCAAATCTGGATGACTTGTTGCAAGTTTAATACGAGATATTGAGTGTTGAGAACTTAAATTAATTAAATGAATAAGACATGATTGAATTTCACCACAAAACATTGTACAAGGCATTTGAGAAAATTCAACCTAATAGATGTACATTGAGATTATTTTAAAATGAGAAGTGATCATTCTACATTACTTGTAATAATGGAGCTTCTGGTAATACGTTAATTTCTAAACGTTTATCAGTGCCATACATAACATTGAGACGCTCTTTTCTTGTTGAATTTAAACGTGAACCTTTGACATGAAATAGTTGTTTTCCATAGAGTCCATCTGGCCATGTTGTTTGATCACTAGTATTTTGTACTAATATATTCAAACGATAACATAAACCAAGAATTGTCAAATGTCCAGATCGTTTTGGTCGAAGACAAAGTTCAATCTGCAAGAAATAAATAGAAATATTATCTAAATATATGTCATCATCATTCACTTACTTTCGAACTATCGTTAGGAAATATGACACAATCGGACAATATATCGGTTTCAACGGGTAAATCGTGTTCATCATTCTAAAAAATATAAGTACACAAATAGTAATTCCACTCCAAACTAACCTTCTATTGAGGGTAAACTATTATTTTGGAGAGAAGTTTATTGATATTGTAATTTTGTGTTTGAATAACTTACTTGTTTTAACTGAATATTATTTGTATATTCTTTATCATCTTCTTTCGTACTGGTGTCAGATGATGATAATTTCTTTTTCGATGAAAACTTCCATAATAATTTTATTTCACTGAGTAATAAGGGAATTTGAAGTGTATTCCGCACGTAAAATTCAACTCTTATAGACTCTAAAGAAAAAAACACAAAGACATGAATTGATGACTATGAGAAATTTTGTTCATACCTTTTGCAATTGCAATTGGATTTTGTTGATTATGTGTACGGTTTGTAAATATTTGTTGTTGTGAACGAGTTCCACTATTTCGACGTTCATTGGCCATCAATGCTCTTTCCAAATCAGACCATACTTCAAGCGTTTCATCAAAGTCAAAATCATTACAATTTGAAACGTTACCACCTAAACAGAAAAAACAACAACGACAACAAGTTAAAAAAGAAATATATATTAAACATGCTTACCTAATTTCGGTTGCATACGACTTCCAAGTAAAACTTTAATTGTATGATTTTCAACAGATGGTAATGGTAATACCGGCAATGTCTTATCAATCGATTGTGAGTCACCTAATTGCTGAAAAAAAAAGCACGAAAAATTACTAAACTATTAGTTTATTGTACAATTGTATCAGATAGAGTCCTGCCGTTATAATGTATTTCTACAATATCGTTGTTTGCTCAAATTTAAGCAGAAAATCGCTCTACTTAGAATCACAGAATCAATGATCACTTATTAACATAAAAAAGAATGACATGTTATACAGATGTTTTTTTTAATATCTAATCAACGGTGGTATATTCAAGATTTCAAATATCTCTTAGTCAGCGATGTAAAAGATACAATGGGCTTGCCTCCTTCTCCTCATCATTGTACTAACTTTTTGTTTTCTTTCTATCTTTAATAAAGTTTATAAGTTTATACAAATATTTAAAATTAAAAACCCAATTTTGTTTTTGATAACTGTTCTGAAACGTGTCAAAAAACTGACGATGAAATGTTCTTTATGTACTTACACTAAATAGGGTAAGAAATTCTTTAAAAAATCCAATTTGTTGTTGTGCACTTTGTACATTATTATTATTTGACATGAATAATGAGTTTAAATTATTTATTGAATCACTGGCACGGTTCAGTATAAAATTTTGTCTCCCAAGTGTGTAATTAATATGATCCTAAATAAATACATTAATTATATGGTGTTGTTACATTTTACTGGTATAAAATCGTACCAACGCTAATGACCACATTGTCTTCTTATAAATATTCATCACCTCATTATAACATCGTAGAGCATGTAAACGCTGAAGTAATCAGAGACAAATGTAAAACGTTTTAAAAGACATTTATAGCCTACTCACTTGTCCAGCCTTTAAAAATCGATGACCAGCAATAACCATATGAAATGCATATTTTCGAATAAATGGTGAACGATAATTTAGAAAACAATAGGAGACTTGTTCAAGAAATAGTGCACCACGTAAATCCGAATCCTTTAAATAAAAATAAGAATAATTATTCATTTATCAATAGTCCATATCGAATTTTGTAACACGTACTTCTTGAGAAAGTTTAAGAAATTGTTGTACAGCTGAATCATACATATCTTTTGCTTTCAATATTTCAGTGCTCATTAATACACATCGAGTAGCAAATATTGGTAATCTAAAAATAACAATAGATCATTTTAGTCAAATTAGAAAAAAGAATGAAAATTACTTATCACTTCTTTTTCAATTACCTGCATACATTTGAGTACGTATCAATGGCTTCATCCATGTAACTTGTTGAATAACTTTTTGATGCTGTTGCTGGTCCTTGCATAAAATTCGATAAACAACACATTTCCTTAACAGAACATATCTCTATATTTTATCATTTAATATAAAAATAAGAGTCTAGTATTCAAATATATACCAGTACGCCAGAATAGAATGTTGGTGCTTGTGCATTTGATAAATCTCTTTTAGCTGCATAATAACTATTAAATGCATATTCATAATCTTGAAATAAAAATGCCAAATCACCGGCACGACGTAACAATATTTCAACAGAATCTGCTGCTAAACTACAGACAAATGAGATAAAAATTTAAATAATTTAGACTGATTTATTCTTAAAAATTATACTTTGTTGCCGATTGAGAATGTGAAGTGATTGTTGGACTTTGTTTTGTACTACCAAAAAACTTTTTGGGCATATTAAAAAATTTTGATATTCCACGTCGAGCTGTTATCTGTTCATTATATGTTTTTAAATTGACTTCAACCCACGGCAATAAACCTTTGGTAACGAATTCACTCTAAGAAAAGAAAATATTTTGTTATAACGATCATAAAAATCTTTTTACTCACCATGAATACATGTATTCTGTCATGATCACTTAATGTTAAACATGCTCCATGAACAATGGCTGGTATTGACGATGAGGTTGTTGTCGATGTGCCATCATATCCTTCATCGATTGTATTATCTGTTGTACTTTGGCTTGATGTTAAATCATTTAGATCTAATGGATGAGCAATTCTTTCCGATTGTTGTCGATTTGTGTCTACTATGTTTAATTCTTGACTTAATAAATCTGTTAAATTTGACGTTGAGTCGGTATAAGAAGAATTTTCTATTGATAAACTCGATGAGTTAACAACACTTGGTAATGATATAGCTGATCCTTGTTTTCTTAATACAAAGGGTGAATAAGATTGAGGTGATGAATTATTGACAGTTTCATGTTGACCATAATAATTTACATCGGATGTTGTTGCTGAAAGACGATTTTGTTGTTGGAATGTTTCGTTTGTTTTTACATATAGACGCCATGGATCAGTCATATTTGAGTCTGCTGGATCATTGACATTTGACATTGATTGTGGCTGATTACGTTTAGAATTTATTTGTAATAAATGACAATTTCCAGCACCATAATGCTGTTTTAAATCACCAAAAACAGATACAGCTCTAGGAAAAAATAAACGAAATAAAATTTCCACTTATCGAGTCTAAAAAATGAAACTTATAGTTGATAATGCTATTAGTTTGTTTAGATGGATACATTTTTAAGAGCATAAAAAATCTTTTGTTCAACTTATTAGACGGGAAAATAAAATGAAAGAGTCTAAAAAAGCTGAAGGTGGAGTGGATTAACTCAATATAACCAAACAAAATATATATCGCAGCATGCACGACTCTAAATGCAACTGGAATGCTGGCTGAAGATATGTTGTAATAAATAAAAATACCGTATACCACAGACACAAATAAAAAATAAGAACAAAATAGCGGATTGTTCTAGACAACACTTACTTTCGTAATGTTATACTATAGTACAAAAGATTCACTTTAGTCAATAATACTTTTGCAAAGAAGTAATCACTAAAAATAATTACTTTGATTCTTCTCCTTCAGTAACATCATGGATCAGGACAAAGTATTTATAAATATTTTGTGAAAACCAACGAGGCAACTTGGCTGGTGATTGTTGTTGATGTAGTTGCTGTTGTTGAACAAGTTTGTGAAATGCATCCATAGGATCAAGATGTGACGTAGAAACAACCATAATACATAAGCAGAGCTGTCAAGGAACGTCAAGTTAAAATGAAAATACAGAAGAAGAAAAAGAGAATTGTTCATTTTGTTTAGCAAGGATACAAGCCAAGTAGTTTTTCAAAAATTCATGATCGCCAGTATATGCAATACGTAAAAAGCAATCTCTCCATGCATCAAACCAAGGCGTTGTAGCTAAAACAAAATAAAAATAGAAAATTTACATGTACAAAATGCTGACAATGTATCGGGTGCATCATAATGAATGAGCCTCTCAGTATTTTTTACTTTTCTCGTGTTTCTTTAGGACGCTAAGGTTAGTGTTTTTTTGAAAGATGCGCCTCGAAATACTGTACACAATCATACTTAAACTTCAATTTCAGAACTTCAATCAAGAACCCTACACAAATTATATGAAAGGCGAAAAAAAATGAAAACTTTGTAAATTTGGTATTTTTTTCGATCTGAAATATTTTTCCTAGAAAACGATATATAATGATTTCGTGTGTGAAGTAAGAAAACCCGCTTCAACCATTGTGTAGCCCTGACTTCGCTCTACCTTTTAACTACAGTTTATATTCTTTCACATCAAAATCCATGGAGAAATAATAATGGTGCTGTCGGCTGTCGGCGACGCATTTTTGCATTAATTTTTTAAATTCTGGGTATGGTGATGCTTGTAATAAAAGTCCCATAACTTCATCAAAACAAAAGATTTTTCGATCGGGTTTGTTTTGTTCAAAAATGATTGCTCTTCTCTGCTTAACTTTTGTCATACTTTTTTAGGGAAATATAGCAGAAAAAAAATTTCAAGTCGAAAAAAAACCAAATTTACAAAGTTTTCATTTTTTTCGCCTTTCATATAATTTGTGTAGAGTTCTTGATTGAAGTTCTGAAATTGAAGTTTAAGTATGATTGTGTAGAGTACTTCGTGGCACATCTTTTTAAAAAAAACACTAATCTTAGCGTCCTAAAGAAACACGAGAAAAGTAGAAAATACTGAGAGGCTCATTCATTACGACACACCCGATACATATTAAACAGTATTCAGTTTCATTCTTCTTCTATTCTTTCTCAGACAGCTAGAAGTTAAAAAATAAAGATGAAATATATAAAATATATACATCTAATCCTTAATTGATATTGTTCTGATTCAATAACCCGTTCATTTCCATCACTTGCAATTGTTGTTGATACAGCGTCATATAATAATTTTTTCGCTAATGTACTCTGAGGTGGCAATGATGTAAAGTCTTTGATTTCCAAACGAAATCCTCGTAATGTTATCAAATTATTTGATGGATCACGATAACTAACTGAAATAGAAAAAAAAGCTGTAATTATAAGAAAAATAAATAATTGGAAGAATTAATTAATACCTTCAGCTGGTAAACGACAAAAGGGTTGTATTAATTCTGCAAATGTCAAATTATTCTTCCTACAACATATTTCAGCATCATAACTGCATAAAACGGCGATCATTGGGCAAAATGCATCTTGGATAAATTCAACTGCCGACTTTTTTGTTTGGGCCATTAAATTTTATGAATATTTTTTTCTTCACGTTTTGGAAACGGCAGGATTTTTTAATATCTAGATCAAATGTAAAATTAATCATTTTAAGAGAATATATATTATCTAGTTTCAAAGAAAATTTTGGCATCAACAGTTTTATTATTTAATATAAAATGTCGAGAAAGTGATTGACTATATACCTTATGCAATGTTATACTCGAGAAAACATTATTTCCTTGACTGTAAGGAAAGGATCTAGAAACTTAATTGTGTCTGTCTGTATACAAAAAATGGAAACATGGTCGAAAAGTAATATATGGATTAACCAATGAGAGGACGTAAAAGTGAGAAGTCGTTAGAAAGTATATACATATTAATGAAGTAACAGAGAAAACAACAAACATAAAGTAAGATGTAATCACTAAAAAAGTCAAGTGCACAACAGATGAGTCATAGAACCTTTATTTAATAATCAATTGACAGAAGCGGAGAATTTATTGGGAGTACTTTTACGAACCCTAGAGTTTCCATAAACTTTTCGAGATTCTATCGATATCTGAGTTTATATTTGAGGGAATCAAACAGTGTTATCGCGCACCTGATGATCTTTCGGAGAATTTCAGAAAACTTTTCAGTTCCTATTTTTTGAGTTGACTTCTGTATCAAACGTCTACTGATTGTTTTATCGTTCATTTGAACACTGCAAGGGGTGTGTGGTTGTGAAGGCAGACCAAAGGAAGGCCTGATTATTTCGCTAGTAGAAAAACGACTGGTTTCTATGAGCTACTATTAACAATAAACGGTTTTGTACTCGAATTAGGAAAAACGTGGCTTTTTCGTCGTGGCTTTCCTTCTTTGCGCACATATTCTGCAAAACATTTCATGTGCTTTGGTATAAAACAGAATCTTTCGAGCCACACCAAGTAAACCAGAATGATGTGATCAGTTGTTTTCCACTAGCCGTCGCCGCACATAAAAAAGAAAAAGAAGAAATCTGATTGATCAATTTTTTGAAACCTAGTTCGTAGAAAAATCGATCAATCAAAACAGATAAATTGGTCTGCAACTAAATGTCCAAATAAAAGGGCAGTAGTTAGTATTACAGAGTTTGCATTGTTCGACTACTGCCCTCTTTGTTGTGTAATTAATCGCTTCTGTGCTGATATTTGATTCCCGTGACGACGATAAAGATAAATGAAGTAATGATGATCGTGGTAACATATAGGTAAGCAATATGTTGACCAGCAACGAAGTTTCAGCGTAATTAATGTAAACTAGTTTTGAAATACAGCCATTTTACAATCGATAGTCACTTTTAACATTTTGATTCTTTTTCAAGAAAATAACTCAGCTCTGAAACACCATTTCGACTTGAAAATTTCTGAAAACCTTATCAAGTTAACAATATTATTCACAGATATTTTCAAAACTAGTACCGAACGGATCGGACAGCATCATACCTGTGGAACTATAGAACTATACACTGTAAAAAGATCGTACGCTTTAACCGTTCCAATCTGACGGTTTAACCATCAGATAACCTACGTCATTTTGGCTTATGAATCATCCTTTAAAATACAAATACAATCCGACGTTTTATCCGTTCCAACCTGTGGCAAAATGCCGACTTTTGATGTTTTTCGCAACCTGACGGAAAAAACGTCAGGTCGGATGAGTCATCTGCGATCGAATAAACAAAAAATTTCGACGCTTAAATCGTCAGGTCGTACAACCTGACGGTTTAAGCGTCGGGTTTCTCTCATCAAATGTTTTAAAATGAATTATTCTTTCTTTTATGCTTAATGCTTTATCATTAACTTCACAGAAGCAAAGATTGGAACCAAAATTTGATTTTTAATTAAAATGCATAGAAACTTAGCAGTAGAAGTAATGTGTAATTACAAACTAAATATTAAATTAGCTTTTTTCGACATGTTCAAAGAAATCAGATGCAAAACAGATGAATCTACCACCTTAATCGTCAAATAGAGATGATCGTTTTGCACATTTTGTAACCCTTGGATTAGTCCGCAGCACCCTAGAAAGAATAGCAACCTGTCGAATCGCCGATTCTCAGAGTACACATTAGGGTCGTGTGCGACAAACTTTTCTGTTGCTCCGTGCCCGTAAGCGGAAGCCCGAACAAAAAGTTTTGTTCCGTCTCCGTGAACAAATAATGTTGTCCCGAATCCGTCTATCCCGTGAAAAAATTTACGGGATGTTTTGTACCGTAATTTTAAGCACTTTGCACATATTTTTGCAAGTCCCGATTGACAAACAAATCAGAATATAAACTTCTGTATTTTTATTACAACAACGTTAATGTTGTGAGTATAACTTTTATAAAGAAAACAATAGAATAGGAAAAAAATAAACAAATATTACAGAAAAACCATCAATAATTGGATAAGTATTTAATATTTTAGATTAAATAGAGATTCTAATTAGAAACTCTTTGTCGTTCTCAGTTTTACAACAAATAAAAGTTAACTATAGACTTTAACAAAGAAGTCAGTTATGCACAATTTGAACTTATTACTACATAAAACTCCTAGAGAAAGAAATTGCTGAAAACTCTCAAAATGTGTTTTGGAGCACAAAAGGATCAGTGCACTTGAAAAAGGAGACTTTGGCCTATCACATTATGTGCCTTTTTAAAAAATAAATATTTTTGAGAAAATCATTATTTCTCATGGAGAAGAGGAGGGAGGTAGTTCTACAACAATCAGAAAAGTTGTATACAAATTAACAATATGATACCACAAGATAAAAATGGACAATATATTCTAACATCACTGTTGATTTATTTGAAAGTCGTTTTCTTCTATGATAAAATACGTCTCTACGTTAATATCACAGCTGATCATAGTAGACAAAGCGAGAGCAACAAAGCGAGACATACACACTAATTCGGAATATCACAGAAAAAATGTGGACTTATTTATTTTGCTTATATCATTGCTTTTATGTAATCCTTTGTAAACGAATCATTATCGTCTGCAAATTTAATGTATGGTATCCCGAAATATTCCAAATGCTCGTACGGCCAGTAATGTAAATCTAGTTGTGCTTGCGAATGTTTTTGTTTTATTATAAGGTATGAACATATAACGATGACTTGATTACTGCTAAACATAATTAATACATGCCAAATTGAATGTAAATAAGGAAACGAGATGTTCAACCAAAATCGACAAAATATGCGATCACATATCCAAGTGGTAACAGCTATTGTCCATAATAGTAAACAGCGAATCCCTAAACGTTTAATCCGATAATTATCACATCTAGAAAAATAAAAAAGAAATGCATTTTAAAGATCTTTAAAATTTTTAGATATTATTAACCTTGCTGTATGTGTGGCCATAAACAAAATTGCCGGTAAGCCAAGTAACATCAGAGCAAATGCATTTGCATAAGGATAGACGACGGATAAACATGTTATTATCATGGCTATTATAATACATCCGTATACAAAGCGATGTCTAAACAAATAGCATAAAGAGTCTTGAATATATGAAGCAAACTATGTCGTTCCTTACAAAACCACACGAAACCTCCACCAAATCGTATAGTTTTCTTCATACCATGCAAAAAATTTAACGCCCATCATAGAAAGCTCTATCACCATTCTACAAAATTTTGCTATTCAATATCTACTATCAAGCAAACCATCTTATTTGTTGAAAATGCTTAGGAAAAATAAACTTTAATGGTCAAGTTTCAGAACCCCATGATTTTTCTTATTATAACAAATAATCTAAGAACTATCTATTGACTTTTAGCAACTAAAACCTATGACTTGCAAAAAACTTACTTATACCTTGTGTTATTAATTCCAGGAAAATAAAAAATGCTAAATTAGTAAAGGAAATATGTTTCCTCGGCTACAGAACGGTCAGACTCCACTTTCATAAACTTTTCAGAAATGCAACAAATCTGATATCAGTGCATTTTTTTGCAGAACACTTTTCTTTACTTGATCAAGTGTCTGCGATTAAATGAAAAAAATTTATGTTCTGCGGAGTTAAATAATGAGTTCATATGTTAAAAATCGAAAATTACCGTTGTACACGCCACGATTGAGGAAGGTATGTTGATGGTAAAAATATGGCATATCCTGCCATCAATACCCAAAATATGCATATTTCATCTAGTAACTGGCCAGCCTATGAAAAGGAATAGAAGTAAACTTGATTGAACTGAAACATCGTTTAATTAGAAGTGAATATTTGTGAATATATATACACTAAAGGTGCAAAATATAATCAAATGACGTATTACGCAAGTATATTTGAAATCTAAAACGTTTTTGAGTATCCTCAAAGACCTTTGTTAATTCCAGCTTTTCACAATTATGATAAAACGTAAACAGAGCGGAATATCTCGGAGTATGACAATGGTTCAAAAATGTTACTTTTCTATCTTTTTGACTTTTTTTTGCTGTATCAAAGGCTGTAAATAGTTTTTATTTCAATTTGTTACCGTAGATAAAATAGACTCGAACTTGGTAGTATGGGTCAGTTTCACTTCTATTTGTGATACGAGATAGTCTCTTTAGTTTAACATGAACATTATAACTTCTAATAGCTAAGAGATGAAAAGTGGTAGAATCATCTGCTTTAAAGGCCCCTATATCCTATAAAGCATCGTATATTTGCCATCTTTTATCTGATTCTCCGTAGAGAACGTTGATTCTATTAAAGTATGATTACGATCGGATTTTAATGACATCATCTATCAGCGCTCGAGAGATGTCGCTGAAATAGGACTAGTAGTATTTTTCATAAATTGTTTTTTGTTAGGAGATTAATGTCTCGAGAATGCAAAATTAATTTTGATAGATCTAGAGATTGACAGAGCCTGTTGTTTGAAAGTTTGCTCTAAAAGATGTTGACATCCATTTGCAGTCAAATGCTGAAAAACTGGTTTTGAGATTCTTCAGAAATCTTTTTCTCAACTAAAACGTCGAACTCTGGTAATCTACGGCTACTTTCTAAAAAAAAAAAGAACCAAAAAAGGGTTAAGAACCAAGCCGGGTTACCCTTCTTGGAATCTCTGAGTAACAAATGCAGATACCCTCCTTTTTTGGGCTGTGGAATTATAAATACTTTTAACCGTATTTTACAATGCCATTTTGGTATTTCAGTGTACCTGTTTTGGTTTGTAAGATTTCTTTGAGAGTATTCTTAATTCTCCAGAACCAAAACAAAAGAGGGCATCTGCATTTGTTACTCAGAGATTCCAAAAAGGGTATCCCGGCAAGGAAATACCCGTTTTTGCTTCTGTACGATACGAAATTTTTTTACAGAGTAGCTTCATATTAAAATCAGTCTGCTTTCTCCATGGTGTGAACTGATGAAAAGTTTTGAGAACTTTTAACTGCCATTAAGGTTGTACGATTTAGAGCAAAGCTCAAAATATTTTTATCTTTTGAAAAAGTGAATTATTCTTGAAATATCAGAGAACAAAAATACTTAGCCGTATGTTCTAGGGGGTTTTCAACGATGAGGAATCTGATGCAAGTACTAGGGTCCTCATCGTTGAAAGACAGGTGCAGAATATGCATGTATTGACATAGGTCTTGCTTTTGCTACACATAACACCTTTTTGGTGTTTTATCAGTAATATGCTTTAAGAGATTTTGCTGCAAATCCTTCAAACTGCCTGACTGAGGATGAAAATTTAGTTCATTTGCAAGAGAACACAGAGCTTCTCAATCTCATTAATATCTTTGCACAAAAATCGTTTCTGACCGAAGAGGGACCTTGAAATTGTTGAGAAAAGTCTACTTCACTGTACATGACTTATTTTTAGAAACGCATCCCTTTCAACCCTATAGGAGGATCGTGTAGTGAATTAGTTTGAATTAAAAATGCTCTCTCTAGTATATAGTGGGCCTCATAATTAATTTTTTTATTAGTCTTAATTTTTCTCTTTTTCCAGTCATGTATGGCATTATTCAGCGTAATGTCACTTGTGCTAAGCGATGCAGTAGCTTTTTTAGTGTTCTCAGTGATGATATGGTGATAATTTCATCGAATACAATCACAACTTTGCACCTTCAATGAACCTTACTATTATTAACTGTGAAACTTACAAGGCTAAGCGTCGCATGGAAATATAAACTTCCTATGCCGACGAAAACAAGTAAAATCCATAAAATAAGGATGCCATTTGACACTTTTTTTGCATACGGTTGAAATAAGATCACCATCAACGGTGGAATAAGAAAAAAGAAAACATTTGAAACCTAAAAAGATTGAAATGATCCGTGTAAAACATATTGTAATATTAAGAATTAAAAATTAAGCATAGAGTAAAAAGGTTTTCAGGTACTAGAGATAGATAAAACAGAAATATTTCCTGTACATGCCAATAATGACAGTGATAGATGGATGCATTTGAAATGACATAGTTGATGTTCACTTAATACGTATCCGTGAATATTTCATTAGTTTAATGCGATACTTATAATCAGTTCTAAGATCTAAGACATACTGTTAACATGCCATATACGACATGTTAACTTATTGCACAAGAAGACATTGAAGAAACAACAACAATGGCAAGTACAAATGACAATCGCCCAAATAAGGAGTCAACGTTATTAAAAGACTTTATCAATACTGATCCACTAGTGGCAACAAAACAACGACAAAAACGAAGACTCACTTATATTGCCACTCAAAAAACGACAATCTGCACTACGTTTAGCGGCGAAACGCACTCGACAAGAACAATCTTCTTTTCGATTATAGGCGATTTTTTTGTTTTTCTATCTCATATCATTGTTATGTCTATTGTTTTCTTTTTTTTATGTTAAAAACGTGTCGTCAGTGTCTATGATAGCGAAGATACTTCAATTTTTATTTTGCTGTCGTATAGGCCCATGCCTGTTTACTATTTTTATGTGACAAAAAAGCTCATAGATATGTACCTTTTACTTCCTCGCAGTGTCGGATGGGCAACGCCAATTGGCGGCTAAAAGAGGCTCTGGTGAGCGCTTACAGGACTAGTCATCCGAAGCGTGCTCTCAACGACTCCGAAATCAACAAATCAACAGTCAATGTGACAGACGTTAATATTTTTGATTTAAATGTGATTTTTGATTTTTCATGGGTTTTCACTTGTTATTTTTGTGAACAGAAGGAGGTAGAATAAATAAGAGAATATAACAATAAAAAAACTGTATGAAAAGGAACGCGGGATGGGGCAAAAAAGGAATCTACAGAGAAGGAAACTGCTTTTTTGAGAGAAGTTTTGTACGGAATCCTTTTTTATGCAAAGGTTCTATATCGAACCATTTAGACTGTACTGAACCATTTCTGGCTAGAACCCTTTTTTCCGAAAGAAAAAAAGGTGTGAGACCGCTATATTTCGTATTGAACCTTAAAAGGTTCATAAAACGGTACCCAATTCTAGAACTCCTAAAGGTTCCATCCAGCACCTTTTTTTTAGGGAGTATCGACACCACAGTTGGGCTATATAATCATACCATTAATATGAAATGCTGTTGATGAAAGTACTTGGCTCATATTAACTAAACTAAGATACAAACACACAACGATGCATGCAGTGGGAACGAACACCTATATAAATAGATCTGGAAAGACATCATATTAAACTATCATACGTAGTATAATCCAAGTATAATATATTTACATATTTCTAATATTACTTTTTACAAACTAGCACGGTTTAAATACGCACCGTATTATAAAATTCAGCCACTGATTCAACAACAGCATAATTCGGTTCACACCAATCGACGTTACTTGTACCGTGATGAAATGGATTTTTAATAGCCATAGTCTTTTTTTCCAAATAAAAGTATTTGAATCAGTCTGTAAATAAAAACAAATATATTAGAATCATCTCTTATCTTCCTCAATCTCGCTTGTACACGTATCAAAAATTAAATCTAAGATAATTAACTAAAGTACAAACACACGATGGACTGTTTTCAATGTAAAATAAAAGCCTAACCTAAAAAGAAATTGCTAAGCATTTGCAGAATCTGAATCACAAAAAGCAGTATGTGCCCTACTTTTTAAAATGCACATTCGCAAAACATAAAATAAAATATGATTTAGTATTGAATGTAGTAACATCCGTTATCAATAAAACCGCAATTATTTTCGATTTAAATAAAAGCAGAAAAAGCGTCAAGCGTTTGTAAAAAAATACCACCACTGATAAAACTTCAGTTGATTTATCTAAAATTTGTTTAATATGTCGTCTAACTACCTTATCTGCATATCAATCACGATAGAAGACGAGATTCTAACAGATTAAATTGTCTTACTTTCTAACTAAAACAAGACAAAGTTGAGCTGCAAAACACTCGCAAACGAAAATATATACTTCTTTTTCTTTCATTTTAATAAAGAACGAGCTAAGTAAGTAAAGCGAAAGCCCGCTTTGAAACTGCGTTCCACAATTGAATCCTTTTAGTTACCTGTATTACTCCAGCGAGAAACGTTATACAGAGATCGGATTTATCTTGTATTAACGAGAAAAGATAAGAGGAATAGTTTCGAAAAGTCCATTTTTTCAACGGGATATTCTCTTTTTCTAAAATAACTTTCATCATGTGCGTGGTGAGAATATGTGTCTTTTATAGGAGACATCTTCTGAACAATTTCAAATGACAAACTTCTTCTGAATACTCAAATGTTAGTTGGGAGTAGATACATATAACTCTGATTCGGACCCAAAAATCAGTTCGGATTACATTTTCTTAGTTCGTGCAGGTCTCTCACCTGGTAGTCTCCATACATCGTCATCAATGGAACAAGTTTGACACTGCAACACTACCCCTTAAATTTGGAATTTGGAATTCTGTTAAAAATATGTCTGTTTGTAATCTATTTTCAAAAACGAAATAAAATAAGTTCAATTTGTAAAGTCAAAAATGTTTAAGTCTTACATTTTGACAAAGAAGATATCTGAATTTCCTCAATGAACTGATTTTGTGTTTCAACTGCTAGATCGGAATCCCTGTAGCATTCCCTCCTCAATTACGAATCAGAAAAGACCTCGAGTTTCCAGAAATAGGATTTTAATTTGAAAATTTGCTGAACATTTGAGAAATCATCATGGCATAAATCGCCATGCAAAACAGGTATATATTTAGCCTACCTACAGCATAAAAGTAATTCATGTTTTTTATAGACGAGCATAAAATGAAAAAGGTAAATTGACAATATTTAAAGCTAGTTCGATAGATAAATGATATTATGAGCATTCTATTTTCCTTTTTTTAGCCGCTTACCAGACTCTGATATCTCTTCTCTAAACAAAAAACTGTAGAACTACAGCTTTAGATCTGTCCTTCTTTCTAATAGTTCAAGCGACTCAGTCATACCTCCTGAAATTGTTTTCAACATTCCACAATAAATTATAATGAAATCATTGAGAATAAAAAGTATCATTGTACTTATTTCACTTTAGATTGATATGAATAAGAATACATATATGTAAATTCACGTAAAAATTATATAAAATAGTACCATTTAATAAAACTGTTTTCCAGTCATCTCGTGATAAATTTTCATATGGAGGGCGGCGAATAGCACATGTGATTTGATTGAGTAATATATTGAAAATAAGTAATCAAACAAAATTGATAAAACAATAATGTTTGATGAAAATAAAATTCACCATTAATTAGTAATTTTCACGAAGAATAATACTATATGTTTAACAGTCACCAAAATAATTAGTTAATTAAGTAGATTAGTAATAAATAAATTAGTTACTATAAAATTTACATTGAAACTACAAACAAAACCCAAAGGTTAAAAACACAAAGTTAGCTAACACCATAAAACAAGTTAGTCATCTTCTAATCAAGAACAACAAACAACCACTAGAATGTATAGATAACAGATCAGTACCTGCCTGGACGTAAATAAGTACAATTAGCTCAGTATTCATGACTGGAAAAAAGTTCAGATCGAATGTCGACATTTTGGCTTTTTTCATCAGTTAGAGTTAGCAAAAATGTTTACTTTGTCTTCAAACTGTGTGATAGAATTTTTTATCCTAACTGGGAATAATCAGCAATTTTGTTAATGATGATAGTTTCTGTTACTCGTATTTCAGAATTTAGAGCCCATATAAAGGATACTGTTAGTAATACAAAGAATATTAATAACCAATAGTTTCTTCTCCATTATTATTATTATTATTATTTCATTTTAGTATACTGTAAATACAGCATATATAAAGTATAAAGAATCACAAATAAAGGATCACAAGTTTACAAAAAAGAAAAAGAACAATATGTAGAATTTATGAGAACAACAAGTTAAACAAACAATCCCTGATATAAAACAAAATAGATATCTGTCATTTGATAGAAAAATGATTTTAAAATGAGAAAAAAACAATAACCAAGTGTCAATTGGATGCAATCATATCTATGTTCATCATCGATGATCGCAAAGGCGATTTCGATAATAATAAATTTTGATTTACTGTTGTTAATGTTTTTTCATGTTGCTGATGATTTTTTAATAAAAAACTATCTGATTTACTTAATAATTGTCCATCATCCTGTGTTATTTCAATTAATGGTTTTTGTCTAGTATCATATGTTGAAACAGATTTCAGTAATGTTAATGATGAACCGAACGGGGAAAGAAATTCAGATGAACGACATAGACGTTTTGAAGATGATTGTTTAGATGTGGATGATTGTTGACCATTGTGAGTATTGTTTATTGTATTTTCATCACCGGTATCTGAACCCTCTGAAACTGTACGTTTTTTTCGTTGATTTTTTTCTCGTTTGACAATTCGATTTTGTAAATGAGTAGAATAATTTATGGATGATTCAATTTTGATCGAAGGAGTATTAAATAACGATGATAAAATACGTTTATGACAACTAAAGCCATACTGACGATGTTTCAATAATGTTGGCAAACTATGATGTTTCAAGTGACTTTCTAGAAAACAACAACATCAATTATATCTCTGGTTACTTTTAAAATGAATTTTATCATTGTTTTTGTGTACTTCCTACTATGAATTTCAAAACATGTTCTATTCATTCTTCGATATTTTGAATATCGTTTTATAAGAAAATAATAAAGATCTACGTTTTCACTGTTCTGGTGGAAAATATACTAAATCAAATTTTTATTTTATGAGTCAGTCGCATCTCATTTTAACAAAATTACTAGGCGCTAGGATATAAGTAGCGTTAAAATGTAACGACATTAGGACGCTGAGCATTATCACTACCTGCGTCTGTCAGTAGTCAAAGAAACACATTGATTATATTCTGAAATAGTAGAACGATTTGAAGAGCAGTCTCTTTTGGAGATAAATTAATGAATCCAGATATGTATTAAAACGAATTTTAAAGTTTTAATGTCGTCTACCTGAATTTTTCTTGACAATTGAAAGACGAATTTCTTCGTCAACTGATTCATCTTCAAAATCCATATGCCATAAACGAATATGGAAATCATCAGAACAAGTTAAAAACTAAAACCAAAGAAAAACATTTGATATTTGGGTGTCGAATTAATATAAAAACTTACTGTAAATGGATTTGTTGGATGATATGCAACAGCCGTTACTTCTTCAAAATTATGTTCAATCTTGACTGGTTCAATATTTGGCTGAGCCACCTTAGGACAAACAAAAGAAACGTAGATATAATCTTCGCATATGTAATAGGCGTGAGACAATTCTATTTCTCAATTTTCTTGAGAACTGGTTGGCCGTTCTCGTTCTAAGAACGGTAACTACTGAACGTGCTTGTCAAAAGAACTGGAACTGCTTACCAGTTCTTTTCAAGGATTTAAAGTAAAATAAAACCGGTGAAGCTAGTTACATTGATTTTTAGTCCACTAAACGCACCATCTACCTTTCATGCACTAAACAAAGTCAATGTAACCGAAAGAACTGTTAAGCAGTTCCCGTTCAAAACAACTGAACTGGGACTGTCCCCCATCCCTAATATATAAACAAATAACAGCGCAACAAAATTAGTTTTTTTTTACTAGAAACGCTATACTGTCTGTATATTCGTCTGTTCTGCAATACTGGAAAATAAAATTTTTCTTACCCTATAAATGTATGCATTAAAATCGCTTGAGCCCGTCAATAGCAATTGATCATATGGGCTTATTGCTAATTTAATATTAAATGAATGAACACGATGACCACTGTAACAGTTGACTATAAAAAAAACAATTCATATCATCTATCTGATTGTATCTGTAGGAGTATTATTTTACCTTGTTGTGAACTTGTTGTTGAACTAAGATCAAATTGATATATTTTACTATTTGTACAACTAGCAAATAATACTGAACGATTAGAATCCATTTTCATATCGGAAAATCCCACAAGACGATTAATCATAGATTTGACATCTCTCGGTGGTACAACGTAAACATGTTTTGGTTTTGGTATGCGACCATATTTTGAATATGTATAACGAAGATCCCAAACTTTGATGGCACTGAGAAAGAAGAAGATAATCATGAACTCAGTTATAGAAGAAATAAGCAGTTATTTTTTTAAATTCTTACGTGTCAGCCGAAGCGCACGAATATAAATTTTGTTCATTTTCAAATTCTACAGCAGTAACGCTACGGGTATCTTTCTACAAAAGTAAAAAAGATCCTTATTAAAATGAGTGAATTTTGTTGTTGTTGTTGTTTTTCTATTTTATTTACGTACTCTGTCTGATTTTTGAAGTGTTGTCGTGCTAACATGAGCACATTCAATCGAATTTATTGGATACAATGAACCCTCTAAAGACACACAAATAAAGAAAATAATTTTAGAGATGGCAAATGAATGAAACTTGTTGTCATACTTTTTTTTGAATAACGCCGATCATAAACATTAACAACAGAATCACGTCCACCGGTCGATAAAATATCTTCAATGAAAAAAAAAGATACATCAAGTGATATATATAAAAAATACAAATGAGTAATTGACTTACTCGGACTATTTTGTAGTATACATAAACTTTTCACACTTGACGTATGGCCTCGTAGACAATCAATTTCTAAACCCGTTTCAATATCATAAATAATTGCTGTTTGATCGCCAGATGTTGTACAAAGAAGACGATCGTTGATCCATTGAATGGCAAATATACAATTAGAATGACAAGAAAATTCTGAAAAGAAAAAGGAACAATATCTGATCTACCAGTTGAAAATGTTAGTAGTAGACCATAAATTATGCCCTTCTCCGTATTATTTTCATAGCTTTTCTACTCACATTCCAAAGGAACATTTCTTTTTGCCTTGACATTTTCTACAAAAACACAGATTAAACCTTTTTCTTCAAAGTGCTAAAATCTCAAATCCAAAATACTTACTTTTGAACGAGTTATGAGATTATTGCCGCTAAACTGAAAAAACATTGGAAAGCCTACCATTACAAAACTTCTTACTTTTCATTTTTATATTCTGTAAGAAAATGCTTGAGATGTTTTTTATATAAAACTTCAAGGAGTATCTCTTTCCAAGAACGAGTGATTTTTCAGAATGTAGAAAAAGGTTTTGAGAGGCTATTATTTATGGATCACTCGTTACACATACACTGACGTAGGTGGCTTCAATTTATGAACTTTCAATCTCATCTGACATCATCAGCATGCGATTTCAACAGAAAATAGATAACTGAACACATAATGTGGTAAAACAATGAAAGAACTCATTAGATCTTGTTCTGGCAATTATAGACTTTTCTGATTGTATTGTTGTTCAGCGTTACCAATATAACTCTAGCGAGGATAATATATTTAGGGCTATCCAAAAGTAGTGAGGGAAGTACTATTATTTCTTATAGAAAGCTTGAAAAATTTTGTTTTTTTATGAACAGATAGAACGTCTTTCGTTCTATTTTTCTATGTTATTTGATCACTGTTCAACTAATATCATAATAATAAAATTTCGATAAGATCTATTTCTTTCGCATATGTGCTGGTAGCATGAACATGAATGCTCGTGAGTATTTTTTGAATAATGTTTAATAGCAACAAGATAGAGAACTGCGGTTTTCACTGTTGGAAAGAGGAGATGAAGACGCATCGAACCATATATTACTGATTTTTCTAACCTGCTTTTGTAAGGTTTTTAGTTGACCTTTTAAGGAACAAACCTATCCCGTGAGTTGTTTACAGTGAACTTCCAATAATCAGGTTCACATTCAAACCGCTAATCGAAGATCTACAAACTGCGAAAGACTCGGGTGTAAATTTAATTATTTGGGGATAATACGTATTCTAGACGAACCTCTACTACGATTTTCGATCAACTTTTCTGTTTTTCTTTTTTTCATAAAAAAAGCATTTTTCCGAAAGAAATAGATCTTATCGAAATTTTGTTATTATGATATTAGTTGAACAGTGATCAAATAGCATAGAAAAATAGAGCGAAAGACGCTCTATCTGTTCCGCATACAAAAAGAAAAAATTTTCAAGCTTTCTATAAGAAAAAATAGTACCTCTCTCACTACTTTTGGATAGCCCTCAGTATTTTGTTATTCACCACTTTGTAGTGTTAAACAAACTCAACTCAGCGGGATCCATTTTCACCATACTTAGTTAGTTGAAAAGACTTTAACATGTATCATACCAATCATCAAATTTTTTTGAAATTTGTGAAAGAAGAGGTGGAGAATTCGAGTTCTCTAATCGAAATCGCTGTTGTTGTCTAGAAGTCAACTCAGTATATAATATGTCCAGTTTATTATTTTCTGTCAAATCGTTGTATGATAAATTCAGACGAAATAAAAAAGCTCACAAACAAAATTAAAATAATTTGAAGTAGACTCTTTAGAACGTTCACGGTAGTCATCTATGTCTTATCTACATTTCTCTTCTGTATTCATTACTGTCACACAATCAAATACGCTTGTTACCTTTGAGAAGTTTCAATGTTTGATTAATTGTACTGTACAAACGAATTTTTCCATTTTCATAGCTAATTGCGCATACGTCGTCTCCTACAACAATAAAAATTTGCATCGATAGATGAAATTTTCTTTCTTTTTCTGCTTGTTGGTCGTAGACTCTATTTTCTAACTGCCTTATGTGTTTTAGAAACGTATCAAGTGAATCTTTTTCCCGTGAAATATACAGCGTAATCAGAGTTTGATATTTACATACTTGGATGAAATGCGCATGCACAAGGAATTAAATTACGCTAAAACAAAAAGTAAAATAAGAATAGGAAAAATTCCGTTTACAAACAACAGATACTCACATTTTCTGCTCCAATTGTAATATCACTTCCAACTTCGGTTATCTTCAACTTTCGATAAGACATTATTGCAGATCTGAGAAAAAGAGACGAAAGCATTTTCATGATGAAGTGCACTCATACAGACAAAATGTATAGTACTCTTCGAAAACTGAATGTATATTCTGCTTTACATATAGAAGAAAAGGCATAGTGTTCGGCATAAACCTTGTTGACATTAAGAAAATTCATATCAGTCATTTGAAATCTTCTATTTAGAGGAAGAATAAATGGTAGCGTATTTTCTAACCCCTCAAACCATATCAGATAGTCGAAACTGCTTTGATCAACTGTAAGTGGGAAAGAGAGCTTTCCGTCACAGATTATCGAAAAATAGCAACAGATCTGCATCCAAAAGGAAAGATGAAAATAGCAATATCCATTCTCTAATATGAGAAGTGTTTTGCCTTTTCCCTACAATGTTTAAAAAAAATTTTGTGAACACTATTTGTTTTTTTATTTCCTATCAACGTTTTCACTGGCGAAATAGACCAAGACTATTTCTAGCACTATACAATAATATAAGAATGAACTGTCGATAACAGCTTTTAAATTATCTCTCATGATCGATTGCTGCGCGTTTTTCTCAGAGAACGTATGTTTTGCCAAAAAAAGCACACCACACAGATACAATGATCGGGAAAAAAAATTGTACGCAAGCGTTTCTAATAAGAATTGCAGTCACAATGTACCGGTATAGTCTGTTTCGGAGCCGAAAGTGTACGCGTACATTCTGTTTTTTAAAACGAAGTTTACATTACACATTTGTGTGTAGTAGAAATAGTACAAAATTATTTATTTCTATCTGCTAATGTAAACCAGCTAAAACAGTATTTTGAGTAATATAACATTTGCCAGATTTTTCAAAGATTTCAAGTGCTAGTACCGTTTCTCTTTTGGTAATATAGCGAATGTATTTTCAATTTTATAATTTAAATAGGATAAATATGAGGCTACGTCTTAGTATTCTTCTTTTGCTACTCATGGTTGAATTATCTAGTACTCATCTACTGAGATCATGAATGTCAGTCTAGAGATTAGAGGTACACACTGTCCCGAAATGTTACGGTAAATGTGTAACAATGTCATGCTAAAAGTGTCTAATGTTACGGTAAAACGTGACGTGCCCACACTTTTAGTATGACATTGTTACACATTTTTTACCGTAACATTTCGAGACGGTGGCAGACAGCACTGCAACACCTCTATCTATTGAACTGAATCATTGAAGCCGATCACTGCACGCTCTGTTTCAACAGGTACACTCCCTTATTAGAAGGTCAAAACTAGGCATCCATAAATCTCTACTATCGCCGCAAAATTTCTAAATTCTACGTTGATAGTAGAGATTTATGGATGCCCAGTTTTGACTTTATCAGAAACGCTGTTGTACGCGTACACATAGCACATAAAAACAATACAACACGACACCACCTAATTATTGTGAGTCGTTTAAAAAGTGAAATCTGTTTTAGTTGGAGAAGTGCGAGTTTCACAAAACACAAACGCGAGAAAGAATATCATGAGACTATTATTGAAGTTTTGTCATATCAATCATATGTAGCAAGAAAAAATCGTGTGCCCAATAGAATGCTGTTTTTTGACCTCAACAATATAGTTAGTCAGCAGATAGCGTAACCGACTGTACCCTAAGTTCATTCAAACAGAAAAAATACGCGTTCGCGCGCGTTTTGAAACGCATATGAAATGTCTAAATTATTTTGCATGTCGGAATGTGGAATTCCAATTATAAGTTACTTTTAGCTAAATATTAGAATGATCGTTTCGGAGCTTTAAATTTAGTCTGATCTTATTTATTCCCGCTTTCATGCAGCAAATAGAATACATTGTTGCAGTCTGATATTAGACGTTGATGGCTAAACAGTAGCCCGTTGCTGGTTAAGATAAGCCAGAGGAGAAACGCCGGAGGGAAGCGCTACTATCAGCATGATTTTGTGAGATTTTACGCCGATTGTAGTGATCTTGCTCCAGCGTTTTCCTTTAGCTTAACTTAACCCCATTGTCTGATGTTAACTTAATCAACTGAAACGTGCCTATAGAACTAATAAAATAGATAATAAATGTAACAAGCTTGAATAAAATTGGTCCAGGGCGAGCAATCGTATATCAAGATTTTCTATGGTCGTATAAGATCTTACAAGATCTTATTCCAAGAAATCATAAGATTGCAAAGGATCTTGTAAGATTTTGTATGATATCTTTGTAAAAGAATCTTAAAAGATTTTATAATAAAAAATGATTTTACAAGATCTTGTGAGATCTTATAAGATCGTAACATAAGAAGCTGTAAGATCTCATAAGATCGTATAAGATATCATATGATCTTGCAAGAAGTGACAAGATCTCATAAGATCACGTAAGAATTCATCAGATATTATAAGATTATGTGGATGAACGTGTTCTATAAATTTCCTCTAGACCCTCTCCCAGGTCAAAGAATCTTGCTGTAAGGTCTTAAAAGATTCTTATACGATTCCGTCTGATTTCGTAAGATTCGTATAAGAATTTGTAAGATTTTGTAAGAAACATAAAAACTGATTCTTGATGTAAAATCTTATAGTAACATTTGATCAGATATCGTAAGATTCCTGACTCAGGATCTGGTCGGAAGACACCGGAAGGCGTCGGATTCCGACAAAATTCGTTCCGATCCGAGGTTGATTGCATCGGAATCCTATTGCCCGGATTCCGATCGGAAATTGTATGGAAAGGATTCGACTGTCTGAAATAGCATCGGAAAGCACCGGAGTTCCGGATAATTTTTCTAGCCGCTAAAAACTAATATTTAGCGATAAATATCTTTCTTCTTGTTTACTATTTACTTTCTGAATCAGTTCCTGGGACTTGTCCAAGGCGTGTAAGACTGACTGAGTCACACATCTTCGAACAACAGTGAGTTTTGATGACTCACACTGTTCAGTACCAAAACTTGGAGGAAAAAAATCTCATGTTTCGTGTTCTACAGTGTCGTCTTTATACTAAAAACACCAAGAAACAAATCAGTGAATTTATTCACCGTACAGAGCAGTAAAACGAAAGAAAAGAAAAGAGAGAAAAGAAAGAGCTGTAGGTGGATGGATCTGCCCATCAGATTCAAACGGTTCGGTTATAGAATCCGGTGATCGAATCCACATTAGTTTCAAATATTGGAATATAACGGAAAGAACAGAAATTGAACAGAATCCGTTCACCGGATCGAGTCAGACGTCACACAGCCGGAAATAGTCGGAATGAAACGGATCCGACCGGGCGTTTTTCATCTGGGTTCTTTAACACTAGAACGCCCGTAGCGGTCGGTAATTTTGACCGTTTTTTGATTTTTAGCCCTAATGAAACAAACTGCATACAATTTATTTAAAAATAAATTATGTCATAACTTTTAATTTGTCCCACAAAAATCAGTTTTTGCAGAATTTTTAATTCATTTTTGAGTTCAGAACCGTTTTTAATTATAAAATTAAAAATGAAAACAGTAATGGCCAAAATGACCGCTTTGGGCGTTCTAGGCCATGAAAATTTCCGGGCATTCTAGTGTTAATAAACGGAAACGCAATAAATATTCATTGAATTCCGAAGTTGAAAATATCAGCCAACGAAATAAATCGTAGCAATCGCTCAGAGTAAAACGTCATTGAGAATATCGTCTCTGTTCCAACTGTGTAAATAAATAACGAATCTCAATTTACAAAGGTATTGAGTGGAAAGAAAACACACCACTTTTGCTTTTATTTCACTCTCATCAGAATAAGAAACAGGGTGAGTTGAATTGCTTGACTAATGGGTGCTTAAAAGAGTAAAATATTCATTCGATCACAGTAAAAGATATTTCATGTTCCAGTTCCAAACAGTACCACCACATTTTCGTATACAAAGACAAGTCGATATTTTTTAACTGCAATCATCATGACTGTGTTCTGTAAATGCTTCTCACTGTTAGTTTACATTAGAACGTTAGAAACTAGAGAATGTTAGAAAGTAAAAATCCCCAGTTGATTGCAGTTAACGTTCTCTGATGTCATATGAATACTCCATCACTGTTGGTGCTATTCGAGTTGCATGATTACATATGAACTTGTCCTGTTCCTTTATGATTCAAAGGAACTCTCTCGCACAGACACATTAGCCTCTAAACAAGAAGATGAAAAGCGAAAACTTGAATGCTAATCTTGGAATTATAACAGCCATTTGATGCCTCTGCATGTGGCATAAGACGTGTCATTAAGAATTCTAGAAACAACAAGGCGCATATTCAATCTTAGTACTTCGTAGTTAGTATAGCCGGTTCGGCTGACTCTTCATGTCTATTAACTTCCCAGGTCCAAGGATTAGATAACAAGATCATATACGATCTTGGGTGATCGTATAATAAGAAATCATAAGATTTCAAAAGATCTTATCAATTCTTATCAATTTTCTATAAGATCTTACAAGATTTCATATGACATCTTGTAGCAAGATT